TTTTTTTTCAGTAAATTTTTCTTAATATTTTTTAAACGTTCCGAGTGTAGCCATTATAATTGCATTACTTTTGCGAGTAATATATACGGAATATTAATATTAAAAGAGTGAGAAAATACTTGTCTATAATTCCGCAGATTGTCGCTGATCACTTTAATTGGAAAGTTAGGTTTTTTTTTCAGTAAATTTTTCTTAATATTTTTTAAACGTTCCGAGTGTAGCCATTATAATTGCATTACTTTTGCGAGTAATATATACGGAATATTAATATTTAAAGAGTGAGAAAATACTTGTCTATAATTCCGCAGATTGTCGCTGATCACTTTAATTGGAAAGTTAGGTTTTTTTTTTCAGTAAATTTTGACTCTTGTTCCTAATCACATGCGTTTGTAGTAGCTCTCAAACAACGTTAGTAAAAAATATACGATTTTATTATGCTTACTTCCCATAAAACATACGCATAAATAATTTTGCTACTCGTTACTTTTTCACAAGTAATAAAAGAGCAGGTAAAAAATTTGTACTTTTACTAGTACCTCTGCTAATTTATAAATTTTGTAGGTAGGTATGTACTTTATTAAAGTCGGACTAGAGCTGCACAATGGGCCATTTGCGAGGGTCTGGGAAACATCTCTGAGGATAATAGGAAGACTTGCCAACGCAATTTTGATCCTCTGCAGAGGGGATGGATCCCCTGCTTTGGTAGCCCGACTACCTGCACGCGAAATCGATTACTTTATGGTAGAACAGTTTAACGAGGACCGATATCGCGCACCCTTGGTCCCTACGCAGGCTGATCACAGTGGTCGCTTACTGACCGCCGCCAGTGATGCTTGACTTCGGTATTCTACTGAGAACCGTGTCTTTGCGATCAGTCTACTGCGGGATTATAAATTTTGTAAACTTCTACTACTTTTACTCAAATTTCTACTTTCATTACTAGTTTAAGAGGGAGGAAAATGACGCAACATATTTTGCAATATTGTAAGTTGATATGAATTGAAAACCAAGGAGGAAAAACTGCTTATGCTCATGAAAGCAAATGATACGAAACGAAAAGTTTTGAGATTATTCAGAAGCTAGTATACAAATGACATCGTAAGAATACAAACATACTTGAATATCGCGTGAATTAAAAATATACACTTATTTACATCCTCTAAAAAAATTTTAATCAAATTTTAAAATTTTTCATGTTGGGAAAAACTTTGAAAATCGGGGTGGACAAAGACCATTTTTTTCTCGAAATTCCTCTCCAATCAAAACTTCCTCAGCAGAACTATAGTCGTTTTATTAAGTCTGATTTTCTTTTAAGGCGTGGACGGGATCCGTTTCTCCCCATTATAGCCCATATTCAAAATGTAATAACTCTCGGGGAAGACAGATTTTCCGCGTTGCTTATATTATTTCATTTCATGACCATCGTTGAACAGCCAACCCAATTTGTGTTAACTAATGTTCAACTACTTAGACTTGTAATTTTGAACCCACTCCAGAAAACAAGAGAACTCCAGGATCGAGTATTAGGAGAAATTTGCCTTCGTAGAGGACTTTCTGATGGAACTAAGCTGTATTTGCGTTACATGGAGAGGAAATACACGAAAATATCCCACGGTAAGCCTGAGGGCAAGGTGACTCTAACCCATGATCCGTCTGCAACTGAAAATATTTCACGTCAGCACTGTGTTAGGAGCAAACCGGATGTAGAATTCGTATCTACCACCATCGCTGGGGTTCGAACCCGGTTCATCTCATTGGAAGGCGAATGCTCAATCCCCTGAGCCACCACAGCTCTGCGATATTATTAGAAGTTAGAATGGACTTCAACTATTATCTAATATTGTTAGATAGTAGTTGAAGTCCTAAGTTTTAACCAATCAATATCACACGTTAATGATTGGTCAAAACTTAGTAATCCTCAAAATACAACGCATGGTGATCGAATCATCATTTTCGTGAAAAATGGACAAAAACAGTTCTTCCTCCTTTTTCGTCAGTTGAATAACATAAGCATGTAATAAGTTGAATTTAAAATGCATTAAATGACATATTGCTTTTATACAAATACTTCTAAGTGACATTTGCAGTATATATTTTATGATACCATGAATATATTTTTAAAACTTTTTTAAAGGGGTCACTTGCGTTTACTAAATCAGATGTTACAATATCCTATTTGCCTTTAGCACATTGTTTCGAGCAAACTGTTGAAGTAAGTTTATCATTTTTTTTTGTTAACATTTCCTGTTTTTAACCACTTCCTGTTTTTAACCATCACTCCCTTACTATCCGTGAGTTATCTCTGATTCGTATATGCTGTAGTTAAGGATTGTGCTTTAATAGGCAGCATGCGAATTTTTTGTCTGAGAGCTTTCGTGCTTACAGTTAAAAATCCAAAATATCAACTTAACTTTTTATAACACGGGAAACTTCAAATTACAGTCAAACAACACATCAACAACTTCGACTCTAAGAAAAGAAATACATTTTAGCTCCACGTTGCTACAAAACTGCGGTTTTTAATGAAAAATATTGAACGTTTAGAGGCAAATAGCTTTATATTTTACTGGTTTATAATATTGGGTAAACGAATATAATATAGCTATTACAAACAGCTATAACTATTTAATGAAAAATAATTTATCGATAAGATCGTAGAATGTAGATGGAACTTCAAAATTTCCTTACGTAAGGAGCAGGCGCAGTGAAGCGGAAATCTGCGCATGAGCGAGTTCATTAGTGAAAATGGCGGGTCCCGCGAAGAAGGTGTTCTGTGTGTTTCTGCTCTTGCATTTATTACATTTATTAATACTTTAAATGCTTAACTTAAATCTAAAAATCGTAATGTTGAATAAATATATACAGAATCATCATCATCATCTACAATCCTAATCCTATGATGGATATCAGACCATCGGCCAAAGACTAAAAAGAAGGGCGGGCTGTTCATTCATGCATGAAAAAAATTATTCGTTCTTTTATAGAACACGATGTCTTACGTCACATTGATTATCTGATTATTTCTTGACTTCTCTTCACTTTCATCCTGGACACGAATCTTTAAAAGACTAAAACACTAAAGTTTATAACTTGAAATTACCTGTTTCCACAAAACCAATGCTGCGCAAGTCTCGATGCGCAAATGAAGCAGTTATCTTGCTGGAAGATAAACGCGTCTTTCCCAAAATATTGCCAAAAAATTGGGGGAGCAACATTGTCCAGTTGCTCGTATAGTTTCCGAACTAAAAAACTTCCACAAAAAAAAAACATTTTTTTCAAAATGTATTAGATAAAAGGTTTTTCCCAAGAACTTTTCCACCAATTTTATTCGATTTTTATATTTTGTCATCAAGTCATCAAATTTACATAGTTTAAAATGTAGAAATTCATATATCCTACGATTTAAAAAATTTTCGACACTTATTTAATAAAATAATGAAATAAAGCAATAAAATCAAATTATAAAACAAACTATTGCAGGTTGTTTTACATGAAACTATAGTTCGAAAAACAACATTTATGGCAATGCGTGTAAAATGTTCGTGCGGCAACCTGTGCATTTTGATAGTAAAAAAGTCAACCTCATTGAAAAAAATGTATGTTTTTACAGAGGAAGTATGTATTTGTATCTGATTCTGCAACTTAATTACTAGTTAGCAGTAACTAATTATCATATTTGAGGCTGCTCTTTTGAACCATAATCATCGGCACAAATTTTATAAATATCCGATTATTAGAACAAGAGTNAAAAAAGATGTCAATTTTTTTTTAAAATTAACCTAACAGGTTTTTCTGAAAAACTACAGATATATAAAATTTTCGAAATCAATTTTGACAATAAATATGCATTTTATAGTACGTGAAAGTACCACAAAATTAATTGGAGTATGAGATAATTACAATAACCAATAGTCTGCATTAAAATAATAAAATACCGATTTTTCTATATATTGAATTATTTTTTTGTCGCTCATAGGACCTTCTATGGGCCGAAACGAATATTATCCCCTAAAATTATTCCTCATAAGACATACGTCCCACTAGTTTATTTCAAAATTGGCGAGTCACACTTCCCTAGTTTCCCTTGTAAGTCTCTGATTAAGAGAAGATTCAAAATGACACGTAACAAACATTATTTTTAATGCTTATTATTTTACTTTCTAACATTAAAAAATCTTTGACAAAAATCTGACAGTAATATTTAATGTTCTTTCAAACATAAAAGAGTCCTATATAAAATTTTGATAAAGTTGCGGCCCGTCATTTGACTAGTGTTTTTAATTGCTGCCACATGTAAGTTGGAAACCCCTGCTCTAGATGTTGTCCATGCGATGAAGGAAAGTCACATACTAAATATGTGAAGGATGCATTCAAAATTTTGAAGTTCCTTCTACATTATTTGCAAATTTTACCGATAAATTCTTTTTCATGAAATAGTTATAGCTGTTTGTAATCGCTATATTTATTTTGAATTACCCTGTAGTTTTGAGATAAGTGATCCTTCATGGTGTCAGAAAGATGTATAACCTGCATACAATATTTGGCCAAAAAATTTCCCGGACTCGGAAAGTTCTGAGGTTCAATATGATGTCGGTCACTTTTCTGCACTCATAATAACAGTATGAAACTGGTCAGGGAGACTTTCCCTTAATTCCTTATAGGTGGCCATGAGAATTGACTTCCTGGTGTCCAACACAGCTAAAGCGAGAGCTGCCATTGGCCTGGCTACATAATCTGCATTCTAATTCGTCCCCAATGCGTTTAGATAGGCTTTTAGAAGACCAGTTTATTTTTTGAACACTCATTTCACCAAACCAATGCGATAAGCGTAAATGAAGCAGTTATTCTGCTGGAAGATAAACGCGTCTTTCCCAAAATATTGCCATAAAATTGGGAGAGCAACATTATCCAGTTGCTAGTATAGTTTCCAAACTAAAAAAATCCAAAAAAAATAAAAAAAATTTCAAAATGTATTGGATAGGAGGTTTTTCTCAAGAACTTTTCGACCAATTTTATTCAAATTATATATTTTGTCTCTAAATTTACATAGTTTAGAATGTAGATGTATCCCACGATTTGAAAAATTTTCGCACTTATTTAATAAAATAATGAAATAAGACGAAGAAATAAAATTATAAAGTAAACTATTGAAGGTTTTTTTTAATGAAACTATCGTTCAAAGAACAATATTTATAACAATGCGTTAAACGTGCGGCAACCTGTGTATTTTGATAGTAAAAAAGTCAACCTCATTGAAAAAAATGTATGCTTTTTCAGAGGAAGTTTTCGTATCTGATTCTGCAGCTTAATTATTAGTTAGCAGTAACTAATTACCATATTTGAGGTTGCTCTTTTAAACCATAATTATCGGCACAAATTTTATAAAAATCCGATAATTAGAACAAAAGTTATTCTGGTTGACATCTTTTAGATTTTGTGCAGTGTACATGTAAAAGTAAGTCAGTTTCACAGAAATTCCAAATTTTAATTGCAATTCTCTTTTTGATTGCAACATCAAAATCGAAAGATAAACGTCTTTAATTACGTTATAAAGGATAACCACTTCGTCATATGGAGAGTATTTTTACATCGGAATTAAAAATAGCGTTAAAGAGGAAAAGGTATAATCGGGAGTCTCCATTTTAAGGAGACTTTGAATACATTTTAAAAAATAAAATCCTCTGTAATTCTTCTTTCTCTCTGATTAAGAATAGCGTTATAGAGGGAAGTGTATTATCGGGAGACTTCGTTTTAAGGAGACTTCAAATACATTCTAAAAAATAAAATCATTTGTAATTCTTCTTTCTCTCTGATTAAGAATAGCGTTATAGAGGGAAATGTATTATCGGAAGACTTCGAATGCACTCTAAAAAATAAAATCCTCTGTAATTCTTCTTTCTCTCTGATTAAGAATAGCGTTATAGAGGGAAATGTATTATCGGGAAACTTCGTCCTTAGGAAATTTTGAATGCATTCTAAGAAATAAAATCATTTGTAATTCTTCTTTCTCTCTGATTAAGAATAGCGTTATAGAGGGAAATGTATTATCGGGAAACTTCATTTTAAGGAGACTTTAGAAACATTCTAAAAATAAAATCCTCTGAAATTCTTCTTTCTCTCTGATTAAGAATAGCGTTATGGAGGGAAATGTATTATCGGGAGACTTCATTTTAAGGAGACTTCGAAAACATTCTAAAAATAAAATTCTTCTTTCTCTCTGATCAAATAGAAAAGAGAACTCAAGAGAATTTTTGAAATTTCTTTAAATAAAAACTACATAAAAATTCTACATTTTTCATAGAATTGTAAATAGGGGTAACTACTAAATAGTTTTAATATTTTTCCTTTTTAGGCTGTAATGTTTATGGTAGGTGGAAGCATAGGTTTCTATTCTGGCGATGTTAATTCACTTTCAGACGATATGAAAGTTTTAAAACCCACTTTTTGGCCAGCAGTACCTAGAATGATGAACAAGCTCTATGATATGGTAATGAGAAAGTATTTATATACATATAATTTTTTACTTACAGCACTTTAGCCACTGTGCATATTTTATTAATGGCATTGCATATTTAGACGACACAACTTTTGAACCAAGGTTCGATTCCCTGTGCTGTGCGTCGGAATGCATTTTACTTACATGTCTTACTGGACATGTAAGTAAAATGCAATGCTTCCAAAATAGGAAAAGTTCACACAGAGATGAATAGTTGGGGAGCGTGGTGCGGAGACCGAGTAATTACTACCAAATGCGGTTTGATTATGGAAGTGAATTACGTGCTTGTGCCAGAACCAAATTCAAGTCATCATTAAGGATGAGCCTAATACCTTCACCAATAATCTACGACAAAGCTTTAGTGGCCGTTAACTATCAAAACATTCAAAAAAACTCATGGTAAAATTCAATTAAAATTTTAAAAGATTTTATACGGGACGTTAAACAATAAACACTCGCAATAAAAATGAAGTAAGAAATGGATGCGAATTACAATTTTTATGCATTTTTAAAGAAGGTTTAAAAAATGGTTCCTAGTCCCTAAGTATGAAGTAAAAAAATACCCGAAATTTATTTATTATAAAATATCGTAAGTGTTCCTTATTTCATAAATTAACTTTTCATAAATTGAGTTTTTCACTTGTTTAAAACCATCCTCTTTCTTCATAACTGAGAAAATGCATTTGTTAACTATTTCTGTTTTACATGCGATAAGTAATCTTGTAAAAATATACCGAAAAATCAGTACTTATTTATTCACTTTTTACAGACTCAAGCAA